CCGCATCTTCGCGCAGCCGGCGTCAATATTGCTAGCTTGCTTGTTTGTTTGTTTACATTGTAGCCAATGTAGCAGCTAGCAATTCAGTGAACAACTATCCCAGAATGGAAATATTAAACACAAATAACAAGTAAACAAGTAACAGAATCGATCTCCTCAGTACCTGTTAGTGTATTAAGCCGACACCGACCAGAATAACTATTTTATGTGGGGTCCTCCTCTCGCATATTGCTTGGCCTCATGCTACATCGTTGTGAACGTATGACAGGTATTGCTTGCAGTTGCATGCATAGTACATAGGCTGAAGCTAAACATTTTTTAAATGGATAAATAAGCTATTTTGCTTACTGTTGAAGAATGATAAATAGCCAGAATAGTGGTGATTTACTGTGAAGCTAATATTGCATTGCGTTAGGAATGCTGGTGTTTTATTTCTAATGATCAGGCTTGCATTGTGATAAATTCATACAACGGTAACACCCATGCATATTAAATGACACTGATGTTCAAGATAGCTTGGTTTTATATTCAGCTTATGCATTGATAACTAATATTAGCAGGCGATATGATGCAATATAACTAAATTAGAAGGCCTTGGCTACTTCATCCTAATGTAAGCAAAATGCATTGGATACAAAACAATCACTGGCATATTATAAAGGAGAACATGTCCAATTGAATTATATGCATATCAAACAAGAATATATACAGTGAGGGAAAAAAGTATTTGATCCCCTGCTGATTTTGTACGTTTGCCCACTGACAAAGACATGATCAGTCTATAATTTTAATGGTAGGTTTATTTGAACAGTGAGAGACAGAATAACAACAAAGAAATCTAGAAAAATGCATGTCTAAAATGTTATAAATTTATTTGCATTTTAATGAGAGAAATAAGTATTTGCAAAACATGACTTAGTACTTGGTGGCAAAACCCTTGTTGGCAATCACAGAGGTCAGACGTTTCTTGTCGTTGGCCACCAGGTTTGCACACATCTCAGGAGGGATTTTGTTCCACTCCTCTTTGCAGATTTTCTCCAAGTCATTAAGGTTTCGAGGCTGACGTTTGGCAACTTGAACCTTCAGCTCCCTCCACAGATTTTCTATGGGATTAAGGTCCGGAGACTGGCTAGGCCACTCCAGGACCTTAATGTGCTTCTTCTTGAGCCACTCCTTTGTTGCCTTGGCCATGTGTTTTGGGTCATTGTCATGCTGGAATACCCATCCATGACCCATTTTCAATGCCCTGGCTGAGGTAAGGAGGTTCTCACCCAAGATTTGACGGTACATGGCCCCGTCCATCGTACCTTTGATGCGGTGAAGTTGTCCTGTCCTCTTAGCAGAAAAACACCCCCAAAGCCTAATGTTTCCACCTCCATGTTTGATGGTGGGGATGGTGTTCTTGGGGTCATAGGCAGCATTCCTCCTCCTCCAAACACGGCGAGTTGAGTTGATGACAAAGAGCTCGATTTTGGTCTCATCTGACCACAACACTTTCACCCAGTTCTCCTCTGAATCATTCAGATGTTCACTGGCAAACTTCAGACGGGCCAGTATATGTGCTTTCTTGAGCAGGGGGACCTTGCGGGCGCTGCAGGATTTCAGTCCTTCACTGCGTAGTATGTTACCAATTGTTTGGTAAAACAAAACAAAAAACATATTGTAAAGTGGTTATCCCACTGGCTATAAGGTGAATGCGCCAATTTGTAAGTCGCTCTGGATAAGAGCGTCTGCTAAATGACGTAAATGTTTTCTTGGTGACTATGGTCCCAGCTGCCTTGAGATCATTGACAAGATCCTCCCGTGTAGTTCTGGGCTGATTCCTCACCGTTCTCATGATCATTGCAACTCCACGAGGTGAGATCTTGCATGGAGCCCCAGGCCAAGGGAGATTGACAGTTATTTTGTGTTTCTTCCATTTGCGAATAATCGCACCAACTGTTGTCACCTTCTCACCAAGCTGCTTGGCGATGGTCTTGTAGCCCATTCCAGCCTTGTGTAGGTCTACAATCTTGTCCCTGACATCCTTGGAGAGCTCTTTGGTCTTGGCCATGGTGGAGAGTTTGGAATCTGATTGATTGATTGCTTCTGTGGGCAGGTGTCTTTTATACAGGTAACAAACTGAGATTAGGAGCACTCACTTTAAGAGTGCTGTATAAAAGTTACCTGTATAAAAGACACCTGGGAGCCAGAAATCTTTCTGATTGAGAGGGGGTCAAATACCCATTTCCCTCATTAAAATGCAAATCAATTTATAACATTTTTGACATGTGTTTTTCAGGATTTTTTTGTTGTTATTCTGTCTATCACTGTTCAAATAAACCTACCATTGAAATTATAGACTGATCATTTCTTTGTCAGTGGGCAAACGTACAAAATCAGCAGGGGATCAAATACTTTTTTCCCTCACTGTATTACATTAAATGAATACACCATTGTAATATTATGAATGCCTTTTTCTCCTTGCAGGGAATTAGACAGATGAACTGCAGCCCCCAGATGCCCAAGCTTCAAAACCAGAACCGTGGGGAATGGGGAGACATCAACACTTGTCATTTTTTATAAATATGAACACTTATTGGTTTTCCTGTATCTGTGCATGAATCCTTAGAACACAGTCCATTGTACAAAATAAGTCATCCCCAAGTGGGGGACATATGAAGCAGATGAACCTCCAACATTCAAAATCTTGTTTAGTACATGAGGGCACATTTAGTTATGCTTATGGTAGAGAAATTAACATTCAATTCTCGGGCAACAGCTCTGTTGAACATTCCTGCAGTCAACATGCCAATTGCATGCTCCCTCAAAACTTGAGACACCTGTGGCATTGTGATGTGTGACAAAACTGCACATTTTAGAGTGGCCTTTTATTTTCCCCAGCACAAGGTGCACCTGTGTAATGATTATGCTGGCGGCAGGTAGCTTAGTGGTTAAGAGCGTTGTGCCAGTAACCGAAAGGTCGCTGGTTCTAATCCCCGAGCCGACTAGGTGAAAAATCTGTCGATGTGCCCTTGAGCAAGGCACTTAACCCTAATTGCTCCTGTAAGTCGCTCTGGATAAGAGCGTCTGCTAAATGAATAAAATGTAAATGTAATCAGCTTCTTGATATGCCACACCTGTCAGGTGGATGGATTATCTTGGCAAAGGAGAAACGCTCACTAAACAGGGATGTAAACAAATTTGTGCACAACATTTTAGAGAAATAAGCTCTTTGTGCATATGTAATTTTTCAGGGATCTTTTATTTCAGCTCGTGAAACATGGGACCAACACTTTACATGTTGCGTTTATATTGTTGTTCAGTATATATTCCTGTTTGATATGCATGCAAATACACTGAGTGTACAAAACACTAAGAACACCTTCCTAATATTGAATTGCACACCCGCCCTCAGAACAGCCTCAATTTGTTAGGGCATGGACACTCTAAGGCAGGGTTCTTCAATTCCGGTCCTGGAGGGCCGAAACACCTCTGTTTTTCATCCTCTCCTTCTAATCAGGGGCTAATTCAGACCTGGGACACCAGGTGAGTGCAATTAACTACCAGGTAGAAATAAAAAACAGAAGTGTTTCGGCCCTCCAGGACCGGAATTGAAGAACCCTGCTCTAAGGTGTCAAAAGCGTTCCACAGGGATGCTGGCCGATGTTGACTCCAATGATTCCCACAGTTGTGTCAAGTTGGCTGGATGTCCTTTGGGTGGTGGACCATTCTTGATACACACGGGAAACTGTTGAGCGTGAAAAATCCAGCAGCGTTGTAGTTCTTGACACAAACCGGTGCGCTTGGCACCGGTTTCAAGGCACTTAAATATTTTGTCTTGCCCATTCATCCTCTGAATGACACACATACACAATCCCGGTCTCAATTGTCTCAAGGCGTAAAAATCCTTCTTTAACCTGTCTCCTCCCCTTTATTTATACTGATTGAAGTGGATTTAAGTCACATCAATAAGAGATCATAGCTTTCACCTGGTCAGTCTATGTCACGGAAAGAGCAGGTGTTCTTAATGATATGTACACTCAGTGTAGTTAAATTGGACAGGACATGTTCTCCTTCATAATATGCCAGTGATTGTTTTGTATCCAATGCATTTAGCTTACATTAGGAAGAAGTAGCTATTCCTTCTAATCTAGTTATAATAAATATAATATACCATTTAGCAGACGCTTTTATCCAAAGCGACTTACAGTCATGCGTGCATACATTTTTACGTATGGGTAGTCCCGGGGATCGAACCCACTACCTTGGCGTTACAAGCGCCGTGCTCTACCAGCTGAGCTACAGAGGACCATCATATATATTGCATCATATATCGCTGCTAATATTAGTTATCAATGCATAAGGTGAATATATAACCAAGCTATCTTGAACATCAGTGTCATTTAATAATATGCATGGGTGTTACAGTTGTATGAATTTGTCTCAATACAAGCCTGATCATTAGAAATAAAACACCAGCAGCAATATCAGCGTCACAGTGAAACACCACTATTCTGGCTATTTATCATTCTTCAACAGTAAGCAAAATAGCTTATTTAGCTTTTTTTTTTTTTTTTTTGCTTCAGCCTCTGTATCATGCATGCAAGCAATACCTGTCATATGTCCAAAACGATACAGCAGCAGACCAAGCAATGTGGGATTAGAGGACCCCACATAAAATAATTATTCTGGTCGGTGTCTGCTTAATACACTAACTCTAACAACTACTGAGGAGATCAACAGTGCAATTTCAACAAAAAAAAAAAAAACGAATTACTGTCTTTTGTTTAATTTATATAACAACATTCCAACCTTGTTTAGCATTATCTAGTACAAATATGGCATAATTCCACGATTTGTAACCATTTGCATAGCTTTCAATTAAGGACTTTTATTTTGAAGGTCAATCACAAATTCCCCTATTGTGGCTAGCTTCACATAGGTGCAAGCTAGCACTATCACCTTCAAAGTACTTCGCACGTTCACATGCTTGTCATTGTATAAAGAAAGAGACGACCATGGCGAACTGTGACTATTTACAAACTCAGCTAACATCAGTCTTGAACTCGCTTGTGAAAATTGCGGTCGTAGAACTACTGAGAATTGTAGAGGATAGCGCTGTTGAACTTCGTCTGGAGGTGTCCAAGAGTAAATTTGAGAACGAAGCACTGAAAAATGAGAACGAATCTAACAAAAATAAGTTACAGCGTTTGGAAGCAGAACTGTGGACAGCGGGGAATCGACCATGTTCCATTTGTAATCGTTGTGTTGGAATTCCAGGTCGCGGTAAAGGTAGGTAAACTGGCTAACATAGTTAGCCAAACTAGCTTACGTTAGTTTAATTGCTTGCAATGGTGGGGGCGTTGCAAACTGGACAGTGAATGGATAAGCAAGATACAGTATCTAGCTAGTTAACGGTAGCTTGTTAATGGTGTTTCTTCTGTGTGTGGCCCAGGTGGATACGTCAGTCCCAAAAGAGATCAAGATGCTGTTGGTCCTCCTAATTCTTCAGAGGAGGACGATGCATCATCATGGCTGCAACAATCTGCTCATACAATGGAAGAGGTAGCTAACTAACCTAGAGTGCTACCTAGCTAATGTCATAATAGCAGTCTATTACCTAATATGTTTAGTTAGCTAGCTAGATGCTAGCCCTTGATCATTCTCTGTTCCATTACACATAACGTTGTCATTGGACGAAGGCGTGTTCTGTACAGTTTTGTTAAGAGCCCCGACGCTCAATCTGAACAATAACAGGCATTGCTTGCGTTGTTGTACGGTTTTGGAAGCATAAGGACCTTAGCATTCATATCAGCTAGAAATAACTTCCAAGAAACAAAAGGTTAAATTGATACACACCTTTTTATAGGGTTATCTACATATGAAAGTGTGTGTTTATGGAAGACAGAGCGACCACCTCTGTTATTAGTTATCTATCATTCACTTAACACCTGTGTGTAACGGAAGAAGGCTGCCAGAAACGTGTTGTCGCTGAATCATACTGTCAACTACAACTGTGATAAAGCCGGTTAAAACAGTGTATATTTTGCATCTGTGAAATTATTTTAAATGTGATATGAAAGTAAAATGAAACGATTCACGTTTATATGGAGTATTTGGCTGTTTTGGCTGCCATAGCCAGTCTACATCTGAAAAAACAGGCCTAAGGTCCTTGGACCTTAAGGATCAGGTAGGCTCCTTAAGAGTACATCTTGGGCTAGATGGATGCATCATTTCCATGTGCATTTTCTTTCATGGTCTGTATGCAAACATGTGGGACTTAATTCTACTGTACTTGATTCAGACTACAGCCATGGAGAGGGATGGGATTCAAATCGTTGTCATTAAGAACGAAGCGGGACATGAAGGCACACAACGGAAGAAAGACACACAGGCTGGAATTTCAACAGAAGGTAACAATTCATAATTGTCTCAAATGTAGAAAGTATTGTTACATCAGGTCCTATTGTCAATGGTTTGAAATAATGTACTTCAAACTGTACTACACCTCATGAGTCCTACACCTCATATTTACAAAGCTTGTGTGTCTGTTTGCAGGTGAGCAGCTGTGTCCCAAAGTGGACATGGTGTATGGCAAGGAGTGGAGCCAAAACCTGTGGCGAGACGGAGATGCTGTCAAGGAGGACTCTGCAGGACCATCGGTGACCCATCGACAGGTCAGTTCTCTTTCTCGAAGACAGAGGTTCTTATCTGAATAAAGGCCTGTAGGCTTTACATACACAAGCTGTTGACAGGGTTGGGAGTGTCAGATTGAGACCTACAGCCACAGAATTAGAACATAACATTTTTCTCGACATCTTCAGTACAAAGTGTGATGATGACGCAGGGGCATCATATGCTAACACTTTTAGATTTTTTTATTGAATGTGTTGTATATTAACTTTATGTGGGGATAATTTCAACAGTGGACTAATGAACAAATACTACACTGTTTTTTTTGTGAGTAAAATATCCCTTTAAGTAAATGTCTCATACCTCCTCTTCTACTTCACTTTACTGAGTTCACATTCAAATCCCAACAGACTCAGAGCCTTTGACAATGAATGGGAAATAAAAGTAAAGGACGTAACGCAAACTCAAGAGTTGACAGAAGTGAACTTGGAGGAATATGATGGCAAGAACAGCAGGGATGAAATTATTCACGTATATATGTACTGGTCCCCGGTTCAAATGTTTAGGAGGAGCCAAACCGATTCAAACATTGCGAATCACAGGTTCACTAATGTTTTTTTACTCATTGTTTTATTCTGAAAATACCTCTTATCTGTTGTGACTGAATTGATGCGTCCTCTCCTTCAGTTCAGTAGCCCTATTGAACTTTTATGCACGTAACTGTGTGACTGTCAGATAACAACTGTGCGCACAGTTGGGGAGACAGCTGCTCGAGCCAACGAGAGGTAGGCCTATCCCTGTTCCAATAGGCTATTTGTACATCTTCACGGCATCTTCAGCATTCAGATGCTTATAAAATGTCTTTCACAATGTCAAATCATAGGCTTTATTAGTTGAGTGACAAGCAATGTCATTTGCTTGTCACTCAACTAATTGTAACTCAACTAATTGTTACCAAATGCACTGTAGAAAATTGTGTTTTACCGGAGTTGTGTAGCCTATTGGAGTGGACGCAACTCACATCCAACTGCAGATTGGGGGTTTCAGTCATTCAGATTTTATTTGGAATGCTCAGGTTCACCATCATAAATAGTATTGGTAGTTTTTCTTTAAACAGTCCTTTTTGCATGAACAGGGTAAGACGGCAACATTTTTTGGAGCTGCGCATGGTCGCATTCATTGGTCAAAGCGTAAAATTCCAAACGGTCTAACCATTCACTTTTGAGACGGGGTAAAATCCAAAGCTTCGTTATATTAATTGGCTAAATGCCGTGCTAATTTCTAAAGATAAATATTGTCATAGGACTAGCTCACAATATTTTTTTATCTGTAAATATGAGAAGTTAATCAGTGGGTGATGGTGATTTCAGATAAAAAGTGGGGGACAAAAAGCATAAATTGCCCCCACCCCTAATCTGCTAGTGGGATGGTAGAATCTGTCTGCTCTATGGCTCAGGGTCAGTGCTATCCGGGTTCCTTGATGTCCCTACCCTCACTTTCTTATTATTCTTTAATAAAAAGTTAACTGTACAATCTGCTTCCTGCTGTTTAGGGAAAGGCAAGATCTATTTCTAAAAAAGAAGCCCACTTTAAATCTTATCTTTTTAACTAGCTCATCAGTATGTTTTTAAACTTTAAATCCTAGTCAATCCAAAATCCCAGATATTTATAGGTGGCAACCCGATCAATGGGAGAACCATTCAATTAATAAATACACTGAGTGTACAAAACATTAGGAACACCTGCTCTTTCCCTGACAGACTGAGCAGGTGAAAGCTATGATCCTTTATTGATGTCACCTGTTAAATCCACTTCAATCAGTGTAGATAAAGGGGAGGAGACAGGTTAAATAAGGATTTTTAAGCCTTCAGACAATTGAGACATGCATTGTGTATGTGTGCCATTCAGAGGATGAATGGGCAAAACAAAATATTTAAGTGCCTTTGAACGGGGTATGGTAGTAGGTGCCAGGCGCACCAGTTTGAGTGTGTCAAGAACTGCAACGCTGCTGGGTTTTCACGCTCAACAGTTTCCCGTGTGTATCGTGAATGGTCCACCACCCAAAGGAGATTCAGCCAACTTGACACAACTATGGGAAGCATTTGAGTCAACGTGGGCCAGCATCCCTGTGGAATGCTTTCGAGACCTTGTAGAGTCCATGCCCCGACGAATTGAGGCTGTTCTGATGGCAAAAGGAGGTGCAACTCAATGTTCCTAATGTTTTGTACACTCAGTGTATGTAGTCCATCTCAATTTTTTTGCGAGAATTAGAGAACAACATATATTTAGTCTTGGTCACATTTAAGTACAAGTTTTAAACCAACCAGGGCATTTTGTAAGGCAACAAAGTCAGATTGCAGCTCTAACAATGGCTGGTCTTTAGTTGGGGCAATGACATGCATAACAGTATAGTCTGCATACAGATGAATATTACAAGTTTTAACAAATAGACCAATATTATTTTTATAAATAGTAAAGAGAACATGTTCCAAACCAACCCCTGTAGTACATCTTTCTTAATATCCAGGAATTTAGACTTAACACCATCAGAAATTCACATTGTTCTGTCTGACAGAGAATTCTCAAACCACTTCTAAGAAGCCTGATACAGGCCTATTTCAGTCAACCTTTGAATGAAATTGTGATGGTCAACAGCGTCAAAGGCCTTAGAAAGGTCTAAAAATAAGGTAGCACAATGATTTTTATGATCTAAGCAATTTAACACATCTAAAACAAGCGTAGCAGCTGAAACGGTGCTATGTCCAGGTCTAAAACCGGATTGGTGCACATTAACCATAACCCTTACCTAACCGTAACCATTTTAAAGTTCAACTTCAATGGGGTAGGGATGTCCCAAGGATCCTGGATAGCTCGGATCTATGGCTCAACTCAGGTACCTACACACACCGTTGACACGCACACACATAAACACACTTTTTATTTTATTTCCAACACGCTGATTGAAAAACATAGCTCTCTCTCCACAGTGGCTTACATCTGGGCAGTCAAGCTCTGTGGACTTACGAAATCTGCGCAGGCGCCGAAGAGTAAGAACTCAACCACATCCGCAAAGGAGAGGGACCTACCTCAGGTACACCCCCGAGCAAAGAGCCAAGATTGCGCGGATGTGCATGGAGGTGGGTGCACAGATGGCCGCTGCCATGATGTCTGAGGAATTGGGAAGACGCATCAGCCCCAACACTGTGAGGTCCATGAGGATCAGCTACGAACAGACGGTTGAAAGCATGGGCGTCCAGAAAGTGGAAGACCTACCCCATTTGAGGCCATTCAGAACAGACATGTTTGATGAGGAGATTACGCGCTTCGTAATGGTGAGGAGAAGAGCCGGAGGTCAGGTTAGCCCTTCCATGCTGATGGTAGCCACGCGAGACATTGTGATGCGCAGAAACCCGGAGATGCTGGCAGAGAATGGCGGTCATATCCTAATCAGCACAAATTGGGCTCGCTGTTGGCTCCGGCGGTTGGCAGGAAATAGAATCACGTCAAAGAGGTAGTGAAGAGATTGCAGGAGTCCTTTACTGTTAGGACAGTGTTTTTACATTAATGAGAATTCTTCATGTTTGTGTGTTGAAGTTAAGGAAGACATGTAACATTCCATGTTGACTGGTTTCCAGTGTGATGGTGTGGTTAGGAGAATCTGCATGCAGCATGTAACCTGATGCCATTGTGCTGTGTTCTCTGAAGTTGGTGTTGGCAGTTCATATCTTTGATATCTTTAGTGTTTACATTTATGAATTTTCAAACTTTTTGAAGCAAACTATTCAGATCAATGCTTTTTCATATATTTTGTAAGGGGATGGATGGGTTTGGTGTTATAACAATTGTATGTAACTTGGCTGATGTGTTGTATGAGGTAACCACATACGGTTTTGTTTGCTTTTTATGTATTGTGTATATTGATGTGTGTATATAGATATGTATTGTGTAATTGATGTGTGTGTGTGTGTGTGTGTATAGTGTAATTGCTGTGTTCATGCAGGGCTCACCTGCGAAAGAGACCATGGTATCAGCATGACTCCCTGCTTATATATAGGTTAAATTAAATCAACTGTATTAGAAGTTTCTGAAAATAAATATATGCACCTCAAAATCCTTAGTGCCTCTTTCTTATGTTTGATTTCTTTAGTACCTTAGCGTGTGTGTGAATGTGTTTATGTGATTGTGCTAGCACTACAGAGAAGCATCGGCATGTGCCATGAAAAAAGAAACAAATGAAAGCTGTAACATGTAATATCTCAAACACACAGGTCAAGACTGTTTCGGCTCAGAAAAGGTGGCGTGTTTGTGTAAAGAAGTCGGTCATAGAAGATGAACCTGCTGACTCATCAGATGCTGGTATACAGGTACATCTAAATAGGCCTCTTTCCATCATTATTTGTGGTAAAAATAGGAGGGGGGGAAAAAGAGAAGTGAAATTAAGAAAGCTGCTTGTTGCACTGACTTGAGTTTAAGAACGTGAGAAGAAAGATGATGCTTCTGATCTGTCAAGCCCTGAGAGTGAGGCTGATTACTCAATCAGAATCAAAGACATTTACATATACCAGGAATTTGACTTAGTGAATAGGTGCTGCAAGCAATGGACAATGTACAAACAGAGTACAGACACAGTCAACAAAGTCAACATACATGATATACAATATAAGGGGTAATATCTTTGTATGCAGAGGAAGGGATGCTGCCGTGACAAATATATTCAGTGCATATACAGTGTTGTGTACATAGTGCAAATGCAGTATAGTCCAGTTATTAGAATAAGAGGTAATTAATGGCAAGGTGCAGTGTTCGGCTCAAATGCGTTGTGTCAGGTACAACTTCAGTATATTGAGTTGTATGAAATGAATGTGTAGACAGTGTGACAAACGTTCCTCTTGGTCTTTCTCCTCAGCACCAGAACACCACTGAATCCCGCGATGTGGAGAAAAGTTTTGAACCAGAAAGTTATTTGAACTTTGAAGAAAACCGCTTCTTGACTTCACCAGTCAACATCATGGTCCCGAAATGTGTGAAGCTACCAGGTGCAGCAGCTGTCATGGACACCCAATTAGACAAGTCCATGGACTTTGACAACATGAACAACTCCGGAAGAAAGAAGAGAGGTAGAAAAACTGGCCCTTGTAAAGGCAATGTCAATTACTGTTTTGTATGTGGAGAGCCCCAATCGAAGATCTCCCGCCACTTGAAACAGCATGAGAAGGAAAATGCTGAAATTGCTTATGCCTTAAGTCTTGACATAGCTTCAAGACAGCGGAAAGTGTTGCTGGAGAAACTGAGGAACAAGGGAAATTTCCAACACAACACTAACGTCGTAAATAAGGGATCCGGGTGTCTCAAAGTAAAAAGGAAACCCAAACCTAATAGTGGCGCGAAAAGATTTGAACCTTGTCTTTACTGTAAAGGTATGTTCATTTGGCAAGATGTGAGGAGGCACATGGGAAGATGCCCTTGTAGACCTGAGGATGGAGATAAAAACCAAGAACATTATGGCAAGAAGCGGTTCTTACAGAGCTGCTACACTGGACGCGTGAGCAGCATGTTCAATAAAATCGATGTGCAGCTCACGCCTGACGGAGGGATTAACTAGCACTTGCTTCACCCTCATGTGGGTGCTAGCAAGCATGCTAGGTATCAACAGCCAATCCATTAGGGTCTGGAAGCTATAGTGTGCTTCAATTGGTCAATCGCGCTGCGTTATCGCAGAGTATTTGCATAAAGTTCAGCTTTCCCCAATTTAGGTCCCGCTCTGTTCACGCTCCCTGCCCACTTCGCTTCTCTTCCACTGAAAATGAATGGCTTTCCGTAGTTTCATCGACCACATCGTCTTTAATTAAAAGGTACCGTGAGAGCATTTGATAAAAGGGCTCAAGCTTTCTCCAGTATACATTCTGTAGTAGCTAAATGCCTACAATGACGGTCTGCTTTCGTTAAACCAACGCTACGCCCCCAGTATAGCAGCTTTGTTAGGGGCTGAACTCAAATCGCTAAGCTCATAAACCAAGTTGCAACCATAGATGTGTAATACTGTATCAATTATCCCAACATAGTGTTCAGAGTGGACGGTCAGATTTATTTTGGTTCTATTCTTTCTGTTCTTTTAAAGGGAGGTTGAACTTCCTGATTTAGCCTCGGTTTAAATTCTCCTCTTTAGGAAATGCGACTGAGAACGAGATTTGGGTTTTGGAGGCGTGCTTTGATGTGTGTGTGTGTGTGTGTGTGTGTTGAACGTGGGAAGCGTTTGTACTTTCACTCTGCCAAAACAGTACACAGTTACTCACCTTTCTAGATAACGTGAAACAGCGTAACCAGGTGTTGTGTCTTGAAGTAGCCTAGACTAGCTACCAAGCTTGCCAACTTCTTTCGCCAGTTAGCTTCAGCCGGCAGTGTGCAACCGGGGCAGTTGGTTTGACTGGATAGCCTAGGACTTAAAGTTCTCAGTCACTGCTGGTTTGGAGATGACATAGCCTAATACAGACAGAAGCATGTCTCTTCTACAAAATATATTCACAAATATTTTATTTGTTACGCTGTGTGCACTGAACTGACATCCATGATTGTTGATGACACAGCAGCGCTCAACTCAATGGTGTGTAGCCTGCTGTAGCTGCTGACAAAGTAATTCAAAGCCTATACTTTATCACTCAGGATGGAACTTTCCAGTGCTACTATTTTTGCCATGTAATGTTGTTATTAAAACTAAATCAGACAACCCCATAGTAGAATAGTTTACCTATTTACCTAGTCGGCTTTTGTGTTCTATGCAAGATAAATATTCCTCTCGAGCACAGGAGGTTGGTGGCACCTTAATTGGGGAGGATGGGCTTGTGGTAATGGCTGGAGCGGAATTGGTGGAATGGTATCAAATACATCAAACATATGGTTTACATGTGTTTGATGCCATTCCATTTGCGCCGTTCCAGCCATTATTATGAGCCGTCTTCCCCTTAGCAGCCTCCTGTGCTCTCGAGGTGCATTCAAGTTGCTAGAGCCATAGGAGGGAAACGTATTCTGACAAGTCAATGCAGAAATGTTCTTAATGCAATTGCGGGAAAACACTGTTGAAAGCAGTTTTGGCAAATGTATTTTGAAAGAGGGAGATCCCTGTTTTTTTTTATTTCTCTACTCCTTCAATTGCGTGTATGGCATCGTTTTACAACCAGAGTTTCAAGCATAGTTTAGGCTCAGCTGCGTAACGGGGGAATTTCTTAAAAGGGCAATGACATACTTTGTAATAGAAACAAAAAAATCAATTTTTTTGCATACTTAATAAATTATTTATATATTTATAATACAAATTGTATTAATAATAATAAAAATCTGAATGTGTCCAGTGGGGTAAATGCAGATGGACATGCTTCAGTCTATGTACATTTGATAGCCACAATGTTTCATCAGTTGGGCTACAGGTGATAATGCTTATTGCTAATAGCACATCTGATAATATACAGTGCATTCGGAAAGTATTCAGACCCCTTGGGCTGGATTCACAAAACACTTCTTACACAAAAACTTAAGAAGCTTCTTAAGGAAAAAAATAATAAGTTCCTAAGTGCAATTCCTCAACAATATCTTAAGATTTAATGATTTTCTTACGAACTTCTCAAATAGCTTCTTACTAGTCTTTTTAAGATTAACTTGACCCCAGACAATCGATATAGGATCGTCTTAAGTTTTAGTCATGGGATTTTTTTTGCTTTAACCCATGGGCTAGTTAGGGACCGTCAATAAATTACACAATGTAAATGGAACAATATGTTAATGTTACGCAACTTTTAGTTTTATTCATTTAGCAGACGCTCTTATCCAGAGCGACTTACAGGAGCAATTGGGGTTAAGTGCCTTGCTCAAGGGCACATCGACAGATTTTTCACCTAGTCGGCTCAGGGATTAGAACCAGCGACCTTTCGGTTACTGGCACAACGCTCTTAACCACTAAGCTACCTGCCGCCCTGGAGTAATATGATCAAATTGGTTGTCTCATTTAAATGCATTCAATATTTGTATATATGAATTTGTACAATTTATAGTTGGTTTGAAGTTAAGTCACTGAAATTTGGAGCTATTGACATTTTACAATATTGTCCCATGTACATTGTGTAATTTGCTGATGGTCCTTAACCTCTACCGGATCGGTGTCCCGTATACGGGATGGTTGAGCTAATGTGCGCTAATGTGATTAGCATGACTGTTGTCAGTAACAGCAAACTTTCCAGGACATAGACATGTCTTATATGGGCAGAAAGCTTAAATTCTTGTTAATCTAACTGCACTGTCCAATTTACAGTAGCTATTACAGTGAAAAAATACCATGCTATTGTTTGAGGAGGGTGCACAACAACAAAAAACGTATCACGGCAACTGGTTTGATACATTCACCTCTGAAGGTAAAATATGTACTTACATTCAGTAATCTTGCTCTGATTTGTCATCCTAAGGGTCCCAGAGTTAAAATGTAGCATCGTTTTTTGTTTGATTAAAAAAAAAAAAATTTATATTCAAATGTAGGAACTGGGTTCTACAGTTTGAACCCCTGCTGTCACTGGCTCCACACCCACCCCTCCCGGCCATCTAGATGTGTGAAAGTTAGTGTATAAGCTAATGATCCATCATGTATAATCAATCAATAAATCAAATTTTATTTATAAAGCCCTTTTTACATCAGCAGATGTCACAAAGTGCTATACATAAACCCAGCCTAAAACCCCAAACCGCAAGCAATGCAGATGTAGAAGCACGGTGGCTAGGAAAAACTCCCTAGAAAGGCAGAAACCTAGGAAGAAACCTAGAGAGGAACCAGGCTCTGAGTGGTGGCCAGTCCCCTTCTGGCTGTGGCGGGTGGAGTTTATAACAGTACATGGCCATTAAGGCCAGATTTTTCTCTCAAGATTTTCAAACGTTCATAGATGACCAGAAGGGTCAAATAATAATCACAGTGGTTGTAGAGATTGCAACAGGTCAGTACATCAGGAGTAAATGGCACTTGGCTTTTCATAGCCAGGCATTTTGAGGTTGAAATATCAAGTGCGGTAGAGAGAGAGAGAGTTGAAATCAGCAGGTCTGGGACAAGGTAGCGCGTCCGGTGAACAGGTCAGGGTTCCATAGCCGCATGCAGAAAAGTGGAAACCGGAGCAGCAGCATGACCAGGTGGACTGGGGACAGCAAGGAGTCATCAGGCCAGGTAGTCCTGAGGCATGGTCCTAGGGCTCAGGTCCTCCGGGATGGGAGGGAGAGAGAGAATAAGAGGGAGCATACTTAAATTCACACAGGACACCGGATAAGACAGGAGAATAACACCAGATATAACAGACTGACTCTAGCCCCCCGGCACATAGACTATTGCAGCATAGATACTGGAGGCTGAGACGGGGGGGTCGGGAGACACTGTGGCCCCGTCCGACGATACCCCTGGACAGGGCCAACCAGGCAGGATATAGCCCCACCCACTTTGCCAAAGCACAGCCCCCACACCACCAGAGGGATATCAACAGACCACCAACCTACTACCCTGAAACAAGGCTGAGTATAGCCCACGAACATCCACTGCACGAACCCAAGGGAGCGACAAACCGGACAGGAAGATCACATCAGTGACTCAACCCACACAAGTGATGCACCCCTCCTAGGGAAGGCATGGAAAGCACCAGTAAGCCAGTGACTCAGCCCCCGTAATAGGGTCAGAGGCAGAGAAATCCCAATGGAGAGACAGAAACCGGCCAGGCAGAGACAACAAGGGCGGTTTGTTGCTCCAGTGCCTTTTCGTTCACCTTCGCACCCCTGGGCCAGACTACACTCAATCATAGGACCTACTGAAGAGATGAGTCTTCAGTAAAGTCTTAAAGGTTGAGAACGAGTCTGCGTCTCTCACGTGGATAGGCAGACTAATCCATAAAAATTGAGCTCTATAGGAGAAAGCCCTGCTTCCAGCTGTTTGCTTAGAAAATCTAGGGACAATAAGGAGGCCTACGTCTTGTGACCGTAGCGTATGTGTAGGTATGTACGGCAGGACCAAATCGGAGAGATAGTTAGGAGCAAGCCCATGTAATTTTGTAGGTTAGCAGTAAAACCTTGAAATCAGCCCTAGCCTTAAAAGTAAGGCACTGGAGTAATATGATCAAATTATTTGGTTCTAGTCAAGATTCTAGCAGCCGTGTTTAGCACTAACTGAAGTTCATTTAGTGCGTTATCCGGGTAGCTGGAGAGTAGAGCATTGCAGTAGTCTAATCTAGAAGTGACAAAAGCATGGTTTAGCTTTTCTGCATCATTTTTGGACAAAAAGTTTCTGATTTTTGCAATGTTACGAAGATGGAAAAAAGCTGTCCTTGAAATATTCTCGATATGTTCGTCAAAAAAGAGATCAGGGTCCAGAGTAACGCCGAGGTCCTTCAGTTTTATTTTAGAAGACTGTACAACCATCAAGATTAATTGTCAGATCCAACAGAAGATCTCTTTGTTTCTTGGGACCTAGAACTAGCATCTCTGTTTTGTCCGAGTTTAAAAGTAAAACATTTGCCGCCATCCACTTCCTTATGTCTGAAACACATGCTTCCAGGGTAGGCAATTTTGGGCCTTCACCATGTTTCATCGAAATGTAGAGCTGTGTGTCGTCCACATAGCAATGAAAGTTAACATTGTGTTTCCGAATGACATCACCAAGAAGTAAAATATATAGTGAAAACAATAGTTTGGCTTTTTCAAGAGGCTTTATTACTGCCACTTTTAGTGAGTTTGGTACACATCCAGTGGATAGGGAGCCATTTATTTGGTTCAACATAGGAGGGCCAAGCACAGGAAGTAGCTATTTCAGTAGTTTAGTTGGAATAGGGTCCAGTATGCAGCTTGAAGGTTTAGATGCCATGACTATTTTCATGAATGTGTCAAGAGATATAGGATTAACAAACTTGAGTGTCTCCATTGATCCTAGGTCCTGGCAGTTTTGTGCAAACTCAGGACAGCTGAGCTTTGGAGAAATACGTAGATTCAAAGAGGAGTCCGTAATTTGCTTTCTGATGATCATGATCTTTTCATCGAAGAAGTTAATGAATTCATCACTGCTGAAGTGAAAGGCATCCTCTCTTGGGGAATGCTGCTTTTTAGTTAGCTTTGCGACAGTATCAAATATACATTTTGGATTGTTCTTATTCTCCTCAATTAAGTTGGAAAAATAGGATTATCGAGCAGCAGTGAGGGCTCTTTGATATTGCTCTGTACTTTCTTTCCAAGCTAGTAGGAAGACTTCCAGTTTGGTGGAGTGTGTAAACGTACATTTTGTATTACCATATCATTTTGGTATGTTCTCTATAGTTATGTACTTGGAAATGTATCAATTGACCAATTCGGCACATTTGGGCAGACTTGATACAAAATAGTCCAGTATTGCGATGCTTCACTGGATCAATCTGAAACTTTGCACACACACTGCTGCCATCTAAACTGCACCTAAACTGCAATATTATATTGTGGCCTTTCTCTTGCGTTTCAAAGATTATGAAAAATAAATATTTTTTTTGTTTGTATTATCTTTTATCAGATCTAATGTGTTATATTCTCTTACATTAATTTCACATTTCCACAAACTTAAGTGTTTCCTTTCAAATGGTATCAAGAATATGCATATCCTTGCTTCAGGTCCTGAGCTACAGGCAGTTAGATTTGGGTATGTCATTTTAGGCGAAAATTGAAAAAAAAAGGGTCAGATCCTTAAGAGGTTAACTAGCCCCATGGGGGATATCAAATGCCAAAACAAACTGACAATGGGCATTACGCGTCTATCATAGTCCAAAACGTGTATGCGGCGTACACATTGCAGGGTTCTAGAATAATGGACCCGTTGGCTTTCATACTTTTTGAATTCTCAGCACAGCTCTAACAGTTTCTCTAAATGTCAACACATTCAAATGAATAGAGGACCCATACCGGAGCAGTGTTGGTTGGGAAGTGTGGGGAGGTGGCGTTCGGGGTTTCAGAGCAGTGTAGCTATGTCACAATGGGATGCCGGATTATCGCGTCTCAGCATTGCTCCGAATGTATGATTTACTTGGGTGCTGCCAGCTGTAGGTAGGATTGAAATTAACCCAAGGAAAACTGTTATGGTACCCTTCATTCTGTGACATACAATTTCCCCCCCCCAAATTATCTCGCAAATCACGGTTTTGGACGAGACTGACTTTATGACCCAAATTATCCTATCTACACTTTGTAGTCAATTTTGACACTAGAATAAATGTTTCTGACTCATATCGAGGTTTGTGTGGTGGTATTCATACATGAATAAACTTATTGTCATGTTTTAAATGTTTCCCCCCCATTTCTACTAGTATTAGAAACAGTTGATTAATATTGAGATTACAGTGGAGGCACATTTTGAGATAGAAAGAGCATAGAAATAGAATGAAAGACATCATTTGAGAGACATTTGTAGCCCATTAAGTAAACGTAATATTTTGACTAGTGACATCAGTTGCTTGTCGTATAGTTGAATTGATGGCAATTACATTTCAAATCAATCTCAAATTCAATTAATTCAATTCGAAATTAATTTTGGTATTTGCACCACACCATTATTGCGTGACCTCGTGACAGAACTCGTCAATATCTCCGCCCCAAATAGGCAGTCATGCACTACCATTGTTCAACCATTTGTTTTGCCAGAGAAAAGGCAAACGTGTAGGATTCGAGTAGATTTTGATAGTCTAAACATTCTTGTTTTCTAAACAAAGTTAAAGATTTACTAGCAAATGACAATGGAGAATGCTGCCCACCTTCAAAGTCAGCTAACCTCTCTCATGAACGCTGTAATGAGGGCAGCGGTCGTGGAAATAGTCAGACTTGTAGAGGGCAGCGCCGTGGTCCTTCGCGAAGAGTTGTACAAGAGTAAACGGGAGAACGAAGCACTGAAAGCCGAGAATGATTCGAATAAAAATAAACTCAAACATTTGGAAGCAAAGCTAGCGGCGGAGCAGCGTTCCGTCGGTTGTCATGTAGCCGAAGCTGGTGGCGATAAAGGTAGTGTGTGTGGATAGTTGAAAGATTCGAGTTATTGTATTTCTTTTTTTAACGTTACACGATTTCTTTCTGGGCAAATAAACATGTGTTATGGTTTCTTCTGTTTATGGTAATTATATAGATGAATTTGTCCACACAAAGGATGTTAAGGCTTGTGCAGAGAAGACCGGCGCAGGGCTGCAATCTCTGGAGTCAGCAGGCCAATCCCAGGTTAGTAATATCGTATAAACACAGATGGAACAATGAGCCAGATATTTCACCGGATGTATACTGAATACCACATATGCTGACGAGAGGAAGCCCAGTGGCCGGCAGTGGAAGAAGATGGAGCGGGATGGGTTTTGGCCGATATTATGCTTATATTCTAATCAATTAAACATTTGATCCCAATAGTTTTCTTTTCCCAAAACTAAAATATGTTATGAACAGAGTGGACTAAGTTTTGTAGATCTTACCCTTTGCCAAAGTAAAAATGTAAACCGTTTAGTATTGCAAGGGCGATAGAGGCGTTCCCTACTAGAACGCGCCAATAAGATCTCGCTAGCTCGTGCTTGGCTCTGCCCTCCTAATTTGTTCCCATTGGAAATGACAGGCTGTGGTCTATCTTGGGTTAGTTATAAAATTATTTGGTATAAGGGCAGTTCCATGGTATCTGACTGATCCTTGGGAAGGTCCCATACCATCGAAGTTTACATTTTAAAATGGAAGGGACATCGCAAGGATCCCTGATAGCACTAACCCTAGCTAGGTTTCCATCCGATAGAGAGCCATAGTAATGGCGTCTTTTTGTAGGCACGAACTCCGCCGTGGCTCGTTGGCCAAAGCCTATGGGGAAATTAAGTTTTTGGATAAACGCTGAAAATAAGATCTGTGTTAAACACGCTTAGGAGATTTTATAACTTTTTGTTATATGAGATCAGCTAATTTTGAAGCGTTTATGTAATAAAAAAAAAAGCGAAGGCTTCATCATTCATAAAGGTCATGTTAACTGACTGATATTATCTCATGGAACAAAACGTGTAAGATCTCCTAAGCCTATGTTAACCTCTGTCCTTATTTTCGGCATTTATCCCAAAACCATATTCTTTCCCCCATAGGAATGTCTGAACGAACCAGATGTAACTCATTTCCGTTTTTTAGGACTACAAGCTGGTGAGCTCTATTGGGGACATATTTTCATGCAAATATTCTAAAATCTGCATAAAAACATTTTTTGTATTTCCCACGAGATGTTTCCATCAAATTGACTTGTTGCGTATAAAAGGCTGTGCGTGATGACATAGTGCACATAAAAATAACTTGCGGTTAAATTCCCGCGCGTGTGTGTATATATAGCGAATGTGCGCACTCTGGTCTTGGTACCTGCGCTCTAGTCAACAGCTCCCAGATACACTGCGGGTATAGCCTACTACATGATGAGATTGTTATGGATTATTTTTTTGTCAAACGGCAGCCAAACATCGATCGTCATGTCACCAGAATAAGACCCTCTATTTATTGGAATGCAGCTCATCACTGTGCACTTTCATCACCCTGTGGAGTTCATCATAACTTATGTCATCTGTAGCCTAATAAACAACATGCTTTCCCGAGTCGTAGTGGGAGGACAACACAACATATTGTGACTCCAAGTTTACTTCGATATGGTTATTATATCAATATTTGCGCATAAAGGAATCTCAACCACCATTTCTCACGTAATTAATTTTACAGACACAAAAAGATCCCACCTTGTTTAGCCTATTTACTTTTGTCGACGTTTAGAAAGTTAACTGACAAATTAGCTGTTTCCATCAGGCCTGTCATGACATTTTTTATCCGACATTACTCACATAAAAATGTTGGATGGCAACCTGGTTACTGAGACTCAGATTTTTCACTTTAAAAGTTAAACAAACCATAACTCGATGCACAAGTACCACTTTTAAAATGTACTGAATGTTACAAAATACATTTACTTGAAGAACAGTGCAGATGCAAAGTTTGCTAACAGAATTATGGTTTGTGCTGTTTGTCATCATTCTGTTACAAAACTTTGCATCTGCATTGTTATTCTTGTGCATAGAGTTGTATGCTTTGTTTAACTCTGCAATAATTTGTTTGAAGTTTTACACATTTTAAAGTGAAATATCTGCGCCTGTCTCACTGTTATCGTGGAATTGCCTATAATTATATACTAACCTGTATATTCAGATGAGGTGTTCAGTGCATGTACTATGTTATGTGCAGTCGTTTCCTAGTGGAAATCATGTGGGACTTCATTGTGTTTGATGCAGGCTACAGCTTTCAAGGAAGGGGAAGGCCTAAAAGTTGTTGCCATGGAGAAGGATGGAATAAAAGTACTTCCCATCAAGAAGGAAATAAATGAAGGCACAGAACATGACACACCATCTCCAATGACAGGTGAGTGCGACTGTAACTCATCATTGCCCTATATGTATTGGAAATATGGATACATCACAACTCTGTTTGAGAATAGTGGATAACCTTTTTTCCCAGACACATAATAAGCTAATTTGAAGAGAAAGTTGTATTTACTATAATGGCACCGGTCTCTGTTTGCAGGTGAGCAGCTGTGTCCCAAAGTGGACATGGTGTATGGCAAGGAGTGGAGCCAAAGCCTGTGGCGAGACGGAAAAGAAAAACGAGACAATAAGGACAGAACAGAGGAGAAAGAAACTCCAGGACCATCAATGACCCAGCATCAGGTCAGTCCCCTTCCTCTCAGAGGTTTTTATCTGAATGAAGGACTATGTCATACAAACACACATGATGTTGACATGGTTGCGATTATCAGGTTGATTGTGACCTATACACACACCAAGGAACTCGCACAGTGCTTCATTCCATGATTGATTCTATTGAGCCATGTTGTGGTCATAAAATAAAACGAATCAGAGACATTGCGAAGGATGGGGAAGTAAAACACCGCAGTCAAACCAAACAATGCAAACGTTCTTCAAGAAGTAAACCTGTCCCAGCTCTTCAAGTGCTTTGCGTCTCCCAAGGTCCTGCAGCATCTGGAAATGAACAACAAAATCAATCCCCTCAAAAGACAACAGAGAACAATAATAAATAAAAAAACCTCTTGAATCTTATTGAATGGACAGATATAGCCCTTTGTATCAACATGGGCATCAGACTACCAGGCAGGCTACCAAGTCTCTTTACGTGTTTATTTACATACAATTCGTCATCTTCTTACAGAATAGAGGTCCACTTCAGTGCAGTAAGATGAATCCATCCACTCCCATCCTCAGTCGTCTGTGATCCTGAATGAGACACGTATCCTGACTACCGACTTAAGAGGGAATCTCTGAATTATCTGTTCTCCTTGTCACTGACTGGTCACTACAGATAGACAGCAACGTTCAAGATCCTTGTCTTTATTTACTGGTTGGCCTACGGGACCTCTTATAAAACAGTCTCAGAGACTTTCGGAATCCCTCTGTCCAATGCTACCCGCGACGTTGCAGACAAACTGGTCAAGCTATCCCCCAAGATTGAGGCTAGTGTTCAAAATGAATAGAAAAATTATATAATAATAATAATAAGACAGGCTAATATTAAACACTCACAAAGGTAGATCAATTAAATACAAAGGTTAGGTAGGCAGTTTACTGTAGAGTAGAGGGAAATTGCAGTGTCTCTACATAGGTAAAGAAAGGTTGCCACATTCGGTAGAATTTGTCAGAAGAACCCCGTAGGGTACATTTTTATCTTCTCCAATTTACTAAAGTGTAAGACATCTTTAATCCACACAAAATGAAAGGGAGGAGAGGGTGACATCCACAGAAGTAAAATCAACCTTCTTGCCAACAAACTCACAAAGGCTACAAAGTCAGATGTGTATTTTGGTAGTGTTATAGTATCAGGTATTACCCCAAATAATGATGTTATGGCAGTAGGCGCAAAGGGCACTTGTAATACTTTAGATGTGGTGTCAAAGATGGCAGACCAATAGTTATGTAGAGAAGAGCAGGACCAAAACATATGTATTAATGAAGCAGGAGCTTGCCTACACCTATCACAAACAGGATCGACATCAGGATAGATCTTAGCCTGAGTTTAGTCCAGTGAGTGCGGTGTTGGATTTTGCATTGGATCAAACCATGTTTGGCACAAATAGAAGAGGAGTGGACACGGTACAGAATATTTTCCTATGTGTCATCAGTAAACTCATCACCTAGATCCTGTTTCCATAAAGTTTTAATAGCTGCGACTGAAGGATTGGGAAGAGAGTACATTTGATCATAGCTATAAGAAATAATACCTTTTACTGTTGGGGATGGTGTGAAAAATGCTTCAGTGGGAGGGCACACAGGAAGAGTGGGAAATTGAGAGGTCATGTCACGGACAAAGCTGTGCCCTTGTAGATATCTAAAGAAATGACTATTCGGAAGTTGAAATTTAGCTGAGAATTGTTGGAACAATGCAAACGTGCCGTCAATATACAAGTCATTGAATGATTTGATGCCAAGGCTGAACCACATGGAGAAGGCTTCATCTACTAGGGATGGATGGAAAATGTGATTTCTGAGTAGAGGGGCCTTTAATGAATAGGTTTGCAAACCAAAGTGAGGTCTAAACTGGTTCCAGATCTTGAGTGATTTTTACTAAAATGTGTTTGGTATAACCTGAAGTAGCAGAATGAATAGGGGAATGTGAGGATGGCATACATGAGGAAGATTCTATCTTCAACCATGCTGGAATGATATGTGTGGTATCTGCCCGGATCCAGTGCTGAATTACACAGAAGTTGGCAGCCCAATAATAGAACTGGAAATTAGGTATGGCCATTCCCCCTAAGGGTTTAGGCCTTTGCAGGAACACCTTGCGGATCCTTGGATTTTTTAAAATCCCAGATGAAGTGTGAGATAATCCCATTGAGTTTGCGGAAAAAATATTTGGGAATAAAAATGGGTATACATTGAAGAGGGTATTCATTTTAACCGAATTAATTAGACCAGCTAATGGTAGGGGGAGTAGTGACCATCGTTCAAAATCTTTCTCCACTAGATTAAGGAGAGGAGTAAAATGTGCCTTAAAGGTTATCAAATTTGTCCGTGACATGTACCCCCAAGTATGTACATTTGTTGAGAACTACTCTGAAAGTCAATGTGTGTAATGGGTAGTTACGAGCTGCAGCATTTAAAGGGAAAAGCTTGCTCTTATTCAGATGTAACTTTTTTTGGGACATTTTGACATTTTGAGTCATTTAGCAGACGCTCTTATCCAGAGCGACTTAGTTAGTGAGTGCATACATTTTTCATACTGGCCCCCCGTGGGAAATGAACCCACAACCCTGGCGTTGCAAGTGCCATGCTCTACCAACTGAGCTACAGGGGACCAGAGACTAGGCCAAATGCATTAAGAACAGATAGCACAATGGGTAAGGATACATCAGGGTTTGAGATGTAGAGAAGCAAGTCATCAGCATAAAGTGAGACCCTCCCCGTATATGTGGGTTGGATCTAAACGCAATTGCGAGGGGCTCGATGGCGATGGCAAGAATCAAGGGAGACATTGGACACCCCTGTTTAGTGCCTCTGAAGAGAGGGAAATAGTCTGAGTGGGTGTTATTCATTCTGACAGATGCAAGTGGAGAAGTGTATAGTAACTTGATCCAAGCAATTAATTTTTTGCCATGAAAAAGGTAGCCCCAATCCACTCTATCAAAAGCCTTCTCAGCATCTAGCGAGATTAGAATCTCTGGGAGCTTTGCGATAGAAGGATTATACATAACATTAAAGAGTCGTCTGATATTTGAGAAAGAATGTCTGTCTGGTCAGAGGAAATAACAGATGGTAAGACCGACTCCAAACGCATAGCTAATAGTTTAGCCAAGAAAAAAATGCTCATCCCAATTTGCCACATTATTATAGATTCTGCCAGTGACCATAATATCTGCCATTGGCATCTGAAATAACATTGGAAGAAACAAAGGGCACCGATTTGTGAATCAGAATTGCAGCTCCCCTCGATTTGAAAAGTGGAGTGATACATTTGGCCTACCCAGCCTTTTCGCAATCTGAAAGTGATCTGAAACTCTCAGATGGGTCTGTGTTCCCAGATGTTGAAGATGATGACGTACTCTACTACATTTGACTGGCTGGTTCAAACCGTTACTGTTCCAACTAGAAAATGTATGTATACTCCCAGTCGACTGCCCTATTAAATTAGGTTGTTGAGTCATTCTTTGGAAAAATAGGAAATGAGTGTAGCCTTTTAAATGTAACTGGAAGACTGAACCTGACATATGAGAAAAAAATAAAACAAAGTGTTGAACTTCTTCCCACCCGCTGAAGTGTCTTCCCAAACAAGACGCGCGCATCCCCCCCCCCCCCCCCCCCCCCCCCCCCCCCCAGTATACAAGCTCCTAAATGCTCTCCAGGAAACATAGTGGTTCCAGCAGCTAGGCTAAACTCTTACCAAGTGGAGCGTTGTGACAATTATATTAAAAAAGAGAAAAATATAAGAAAATGATTGAAAGCAAAGTTTACCAATAGTGCCAAGTAAAGTGACAACAGGGTGTTAAATCAAATAACATAGGCAGCATGACAGTTTATGGCCTCAATAAAATAAAAGGGAACCTGTTCCACAAGCCTACATAGAAAACAATGACAAAATAACAAAAAATGATATATATATATATATATATATATATATATTATATGAATAGAGGCTTACTATTTCAGCCAACAATGAGGAAAATGTACATATAATGCAAAAAAAATAAACTGGAGGCACTGTAGTAGGCTACATGTGTCGGGCCTTACCTATCAAACACTGCACTGTAGATGGGCTAAATATCCATCTCGTTGCTCCGGTCAGTCTGGGGGAGCAGTTTCCTTCAAGTTCTTGTTGATAAAGTAAATTGCAGCGGTCGGGTCGTTGAACTTGTGAAGAGCTCCGCTTGGTAGTGTGATCCTGAGCTTGGCTGGGAAGAGGCCAAACTTGACTCCCGGACAGGTGTGCAGAAGCCGCTTTGCGTTACCGAGCGCCACTCGTTTCTTGGCCACGGAGGCAGTGAAGTCTGGGAAAGTTGAGTATTTTGCCTCTGTACAGTAAGGGTGATGGTTCTCCAGCTCGGCGCAGGATCTGGTCCCGGACATGGTAGTAATGCACTCTAATGACGAAGGGCCGTGGGGGGTCACCCTCTCTGGGTCTAGCTCGCAGTGACCTATGGGCACGGTCTAAGAGGGGTTTTTCTTCATGGTTAAGCATGTCCTGCAATAGTTGGGAAACTAAGTACCTTCAGTAATGCCCACCAGGCGTATGTTGTGGTGGTGTTGACGTCCTTCTAGGTCCTCACATTTTTCTTTAAGCGCTTTAACATCAGATGAGAGCGAATTCACTGTGGCCTGAAGGATGGTTAGGTCATCACTGTAAGACACAGCAGAGCGTTCTAGTTCAAGTATGATAGTGCCCTGTGTAGTCACTGTTGCCTGTAGAGCAGCTACAGATGATTTCAGTTCTTCCTTAATTAAGGACATTTCTGAGCGGAGAGTTGTGGAGAGTGTCAATTTTCGTGTCAAGTTGATTATATATGTCTCTTGAGCCCATCCAAAGCTTCTGTGAACTTCCTCAAACTAAGGGCAGCGTCCTGGCCATCGCTGTCCTCCTCCTGCCCTGGCGAGTTGCTTGGCGGGGTTGCTCGGAGGGTCTCTTAGAGCAAGTGTCTCTTTTATCAGCCATTTCCTGGATTTGTGCAACAGTGAAGAGTCAGATTATGTTTTGCAAATGGTGAAATTGAATGGTCTTCTTGCCCAAGGAATGAGCCACCCTGCATGGCTGCCAATGTGATAAGGATGCAACCAGGGCCGACGCGGATGGCGGTTACTCATATGCAGGATATCAAGTCTTCTTTTGAACTGTTCATCCCAGACACCATCCAGAAAATCATTCTGGACTGCACTAATTTGGAGGGAAGGTGTGTTTTTTGATTGAGATGGAAGGAGATGGACCAAACTCATTTACATGCATACTTTGGGCTTCTTATCCTTGCTGGTGTTTTCAGATCCAATGGGGAATCCACAGAATCCCTGTGGGATGCAGAAACCGCCAGAGAACATTTCAGTGCAACAATGTCTCTGGAAAACTTCCACATTATTTCCAGGATTATCTGCTTCGATAACCGAGACACCAGACCAGCTCGGCGGCAGAGAGACAAGCTAGCTGCAATCAGGTCAGTGTGGGACAAGTGGGTGGACCGCCTTCCCCTGTTTTACAACTCTGGGCCCAACGTTACTGTTGATGAGCAGCTTATGCCATTTAGGGGCCGCTGCCCCTTCAGGCAGTACAAACCGTGATGCTGCCCCTGAGAAG